CCTCCTCCTCCTCTCCTCCTCCTCCTCCTCCTCCTCCTCCTCCTCCTCCTGAGAGTGGGGGGATCTTCTGGGAGCAGGGAAAGCGGGGGGTGGAAGGCTTCTTAGGCGGAGGAGGAGGAGGAGGCAGGAGGAGGAGGAGGAAGGAGTAGAGGAAGAGGAGGAGGAGGATGAGGAGGAGGGAGAGGAGGAGGAGGGGAGGAGGAGGAGGAGGAGGGGAGGGGAGGAGGAGGCAGGAGGGGAGGAGGAGGAAGAGGAGAGGAGGAGGAGGAGGAGGAGGAGAGGAGGAGGAGGAGGAGGAGGGGAGGGGGAGCGGGAGCGGGAGCGGGAAGGGAATGGGGAGTAGGAGGGGGAGGGGGGAGGTCCTCCTGCACTTTCCTTCTGTTTCCACCGTCCCCCCCCCCCATCTCCCCGTACTCCATATCGGTGCTCCTCCCGCGGGGGATGAACAAGAGGTGGAGGAGGAGGGGCGATGTGCGGAGAGTAAGGGAAAGGATGGGGATCCTCTTGCCTCCTCATCTTCCTCCTCCTCCTCCTCCTTCTCCTCCTCCTCCTCCTCCTCCTCCTCCTCCCCTTTGTTCAAACCTCCCCTGTGCTGGGTGCTGACGGCCAGGGGTCCGATCCAGACGCAGCCCTGCCTCACATCCACCAGCGGCCGCCGCTGGGGGGGGCAGAAGAAGACGCAACGAGAATGGTAATTGGCGGCGCACTTTGGGAGAAGGAAGTCGAACTGCTGCTGCGTCCCGAGACATCGGGCGTCTCGAAAAAGTCGAGACGGAGGTTTTTCATAGTTTTTGGCCTCTCGGGGTCCTCGCCGGGCCTCGGGACCGTCAAACAACGACTCGGGATGAAGAACGGGTCCGAGGGAAGTGGTCCGGAGGTCGGGGGCCCGCGTCTCGAAAACATCGAGACGTCGGGTGTTTGGGTCTTCTGTCCCAGCCTCAGCCTCTGCAGCGTAGCACGGGCCTTGACTTGGGTAAGGCCGCTGCTGCCGTGTCTAGCCTGGCTCGCCTCACGATCGCTTGTCGCGACCGCCAGCTGATGTGACTTTGCTCATCAAGAGTGTGAGTGCCCAGAAACGGCACGGGGAAAGACGGGGGGCTGCGATTGGAGTTCAAGCATGGAGAGGGGAGGAGGGGAGGTGGAAGGCTTTGCGCTGGGTGGCAAGGCGATGCAAGGCTAGTCAAGGTGATCCGAGGCCGCTCTGGGCCACATCCCAGGGCGGCCAGCGCCGACGGTGTCTGATTGCTCTCCGATCCCCCGCATTTGCCCACCCCCTTCCCCGTCCCAGTGGTTCGGGGAGTGCACCTCATCTATGTCTCGATGGAATTTACCACCCATTGTTTGGAGAGGCTTCTGGCCAACGGACGACCTTGTCTATGAAGTCAGGGGCGTTGGGTGTGGGATTGATATGGTAGCGCCGCTGCCTTCGTATACCACTTCATGCGAGAGATCCACAGTTGGCACTCGCTGGACATGCCCACCCACTGCTCATCCACCTGGTGGCAGTCGAGGTGGCCTCCCATCCTGCCGGTGGCGTCGAAACCCGGCGCAAGGAGAAAGGATTGTTGTTGTCGATCTGTCGGTAGAGTGTTGGTGCGACTTCGGTCGCCAGGACTTTTGGGTCAGGCAGGAGGAGGTCGGGGGCGGCAAAGAGGGGGGGGATGACTAGGGGGGGTGAATATCATGGCGTGGGCCACGATATTTTCCCAGATTTCATGGCGCCGCTTCTTTTTCATTACGTCCTTGGCCCCCCCGCTGGGCCGCGCACATGCCGCCGGTCATGATTTGCACCCCCCCCTCTTGGACACCCCCCTCCTTTTGGCCGCTCCCGAGGAGGCGTTGCCCATCCATCGGTGGCACCGGGTCGCGTGCACGGGGCTGCCCGTGCGGGGCGCGCCCCGCGCAGGGTGGCGACGCGGAGCGTTCGCCCCCCTGCCCGCAGGAGACTCGGCACAAACGAAGCAGGGGGAGCAGGAGGAGCAGGGGGAGCAGGAGGAGCAGGGGGAGGGGGAAGAGGAGGAGGAGGAGGAGGAGGAGGAGGAGGAGTCCGACAGGACATCGAGCCGATAGCGATAGCGATAGCGATAGGAGGAGGAGGAGGAGGAGGAGGAGGAGGAGGAGAAGGAGGGGAAGGACTGGATGGGTGTGCTGGCACGTCGGACGGCTGGCCCGTGCGACAGGTTCGCGCGCTGCACTGAAGGCGTGGGGTCGGTGGGCGTCGCAGGTCGGAAGCCGGGCAAGGGCTGCTAAATCCGTGGCTGCTAAAATCGGCCTCCTGGAAGTTGTCTTCGTCCTTCCGGTGAGAAGCCCGTTGATTGTTTCGCGTGCCGCGCCTCATTCCGGGAAGTTGTTTTTTTCCTTCCGGGAGGGCCGTTTTAGCAGCCACGGTTTTAGCAGCCCTCGCCCAGCTTCCGAGCAGGCCTAGAGGTTGCACCAATATCGGCGATGTGCCTCCACCGAGGGAAGATGATCCAGACCTCGGTGATGGTGGTAATGGTCTGGCTTTCAAGGCGACCGAAATATTGCCACCAACACCGAAATCTAGGATCATCTTCCCCCTGAGGAGGCGACTTCCTGTGTTGGTGTTGGTGCCCATTTCCAGGCCTCCAAGGGTGGCCAGCGCCCACGTGGCGGTTGGGCACGAAAATTCGCCAGCCTCATCCTCCCCTCGCCTTCTCCATTCCCTTCTCCATTCCCCTCGCCCTCCTGCCTCATTCCTCCCCTCGCCTTGTTCGTCGACGTTGCACCTGTGCAACCGTCGACGTTGCACCTTGAGCGCGAGCTATTTCTGAACAGCAGCACCGCCGATGTAATACAGTACGGTAGTGGCTGCGAGTTTGCATTGCGTAGTCGGCTACGTAGTCGGCATATGGGTCATGTTCAGGAGTGGATGGTCTGACGCGAAAGTTGCTTTGTTTCGTCTGTGTATCATGGCAGTGTGTTCCAGACATGTTGGAATTATCCGGAGCAGTGTCTCTGCGTTTAGGATGTGGCCGACCGCAACCCCCGCGCCCTCGACAACGTCAAGGTCGACGAGGCCCACAGATCTTTGCCACGCGTATGCGCGCGCTTGCGAGAAGTTTGCGGGATAGCGTGGAGATCTTGTTTGGGCACCCGCCACCTCCACTTCTCTTCGGCATCAAGACTACAGCATCTGCTCGATGGCGGGCGCTTTCAGGCCATACCGACTGGGTAACGATACAGTGGGGGCCCATGTGAAGAAACACGCTGCTTGCCTCCAGGGTGCCCTGGGTTTCTTTTGTTTCGATGGTTTCGCTCTGGGAAGCGTGACGTTCCCACACCAAGAATCACGTCCTGGGGTCTCAGGGTTGGGTTTCTTGTGGAAGGTTCCTTGTGAACCGGCCTCCGCTGTACACCAATCGATGTGTGGGTGTGTGTGTGCTGCGGGACAGCGCCTGCCCCGCCGCCGCCTGGCCCTGCTGTGAGCGGGCCCGGCTTCCTCTCCCCCCCGCCCGCGCTGGGTTTCCTTTCCCCCTCTCACGTGCACTGCGGCTTAGTCCCACTCGTGCCTCATCGCCGGCACCTCTTGCCAGCCGCCGACGCAGAAAGCGTGTGCTGCCTGATCGACTCGGACGTGCGTCTCGAAGAGGCGCGCACGACACCAGCATGCCATTCTGGGTTCAGTCGCTCACCTCCTCTCTGCCCTGCCTCCCCCCGCCGGCCTTGCCTTAACTCGGGCCTGTCCCTCTACAGGACGAACATTTAAAACATAATCGCAACAAAACAACTAATATGGGGACGCTTGTCCAGTATTCCTGATTATTTTCGCATTTGTTTGAACTATTCGTCCAGAATCCCCCTGTAGGAGGACACGCCCGACCTAAGCCTTGCCCCTCTCTCCTTCCTTCGGGGCTCAAGAAACGGGGGTCAGTGCAAACTGATGGTCAGCCAGTGCGCCAGATCTTGCAGGATCCTGCAGGGCCAGGGTCGCATTGACCCAGGCTTGGGCGCAGGATCGTGCAGGATTTTGCAGGACCCTTCGCATTGACCCAGGTTTGGGCGGAGGGTCTTGCAGGATCTTGGAGGATTCCGCAAGGCTTGACTGACTGGGGTTTGGATTGATCCGGGTCAGCAGATCCCCGATTTTTGTGCATGCTTGTCCTATCGAGCTCGGCCAACGGCTGCGCCGCTCTTCGGGAGTGTCGGGCACGGATCGAGAGAGTGGCTGGTGCCCATAGTAGCACTCCTGTGATTTCCGCGCCGGCTCCGCCGCCTCCTTCGGTGTTCTCTTTTTGGGGGGAGAGGGGGCCTGCGGAGGCGACAGAGGAACCCTGTGGCGGAGGTCGGAGTGACGACATGACAGGCGGACGACCGACGGACGAAAAAAGAGGACGAGAGGCCAGCGCGAACGGATAGGGGGCAGAGGACGAGGACGAGGACGAAGAGGACGAGAGGGGGAAGCGACAGGACGACGAGGAGGGCGAGAACGACGGACGACAAGACGAGGACGAGGACGGCTGAGGGAAAAGGGGGAGAAGGGCGCGCTCAACCCGCGCCTCCTCCCTCCCTCCTCCGTTGGGGCCCTTACCTTTCCAGCGGGTGCCCGCTGCAGTGACAAGAAACATCTGCCTCGATTGGTAGGGAGGGAAGTTTGGGACAGGAAGGCTCGTCGTCGTGTCGTCGCTGGTGCGAGTGCTGGGTCTATCGTGTCATCCTCCCTCTGTCTCTTCCTCTCTTCCGATGTCCTGGTCTGGATTGTCTCCTTCCATCTGGCAATCTCCCCCCTCATTGTCCGTTTGCCCAGACCAGCTCATTGCCAGGCGCCCTCCTTGTGACCCTCCTCCCCCTCATTGTGAGTAGGTGGCAATGCAGTCAGTGCGCGTACACGTGTGATCGTGCGCACATGGTGGAATCCCAGCCCGAGCTCTAGAGTTCCAGAGTTCTCCATCGCTCGCTCCTCCTCCCCATCCTGTGCTCGAGACTGCCTTGATCCGTGTGGACCGAACTTTTCCATTGAGTGGCGCAGACTGCCGCTCGTGATGGCGGGCCTGCCTCTTGCGATCCGCTGCGCCGTGCTGGTCGGGCTGATCGGCGCCGTGGCCGCCGTGCAGAAGGGCAGAGAGGCTGGCCACGAGAAGGGCCACGGGCAAGACAAGGGTGGCGTGCTGGGGCACGGCACGGGCTTCATGGCCTCCGTCGCAAACCACACCGGCCGCCAGACGCCCGAGGAGCCTCTGGTGCTCCTCGTGCTCCTCCTCGTCTTCCCCTGCGCGGGGAAGCCGCGCAGGGGAAGCGGCAGAGAGCTCGCTCTGGTCTCCCGTCCTTCTCAGCAGGGCCGCAGGCAAGACATGATGAGAAGGAACCGGAGGAGGTCGGGGCTCTGCAGGAGGCTCGGGGAAGGCCCCGCAGCAGCTTTTTCTGCTTGCGTCGTGTCCGTTCCGACCGACAGCACTGATTGTCTGAGCCCGTTCTGTATGACCGATTTGGGGTTCTGTCTCTGGCCAGGGTCCCCGAACTCGGGATCCTCGAGATCAAACAGCTGCCCTGCTCGGGTGGGTGGTTAGAAGGGGACGGAAGAACGCGGGTGGCCAGACTTCTGGACGCATGGTTGATTGTTTTGGGGGAGTATGAGATCATTAGTTACCCACATCCTGAGCGTTTTTTTTGTTTGCACATCCTAAGTGGGATTATTGTTTTCTTTGCACACCCCCCGCGCAGTATCGCTCCTCCTCCTCCTCCCTCTCTTCCCCACCCTCACTGACACACTTACACACTCGCATCGTCATCATCATAATCATCATCACCATCATCATTATCATCATCATCACCATCATCATCATCATCATCATCATCATCATCATCATCATCATCATCATCATCTTCATGACCACCACATCATCATCATCACACACTCACTCACACTCCCTTGGTCCCTCTAATTCACTCCTGAACTTACTCACTCACTATCCCATTCACTCATTCATCAGGTTTTTAATCCAAGCGGGTTATCGGGAACCTGTAAATGCCATCTTTTTTGGGCCTCCTCAGGCTTGAATATTTGGAGGAAGTTTCGAGCGGGAGCTTGTCTGTGAGTGAACTTTCAGGAAGTCTCAGGCGGGAACCCCGTCCCTATGGGGCAGTAGATCATGTTATTGATCCGAGCGGGTCATCGGAATTCTGTGACCTTTCCTCTTTTTTCGAAGTGGAAAAAGTCTCTTGCTGAAGCCTCGTCTGTGAGTGGGTTGTGGCGAAATTTCAGGCGGGAGCCCTCTCCCTTTGGGGCCCGCAAATCATGTCATGTATCCGAACGGGCTATCGGAATCTTGTAAGTGTCGTCACTTTGGGATTCCTCAGGCCAGAAAATGGCGGAAGTCTCGAGCGGAAACTTCGTCTGTGTGTACATTGTGAGGAAGTCTCAGGCGGAAGCCCCCTCCCTATGGGGCCCGTGTTTCGCCTTGGTAATCCGAGCGGGTCATGCGAATCCCGCGATTCTCTTCACGCTTGGGCTCCCGAGCCTCACTCGGAGTACGAGGCGCGCGCGCGGGTCCAGCACTCTCGCCTCTGCTACCTACCGCAGGGAATCTGGCTGCAAGTGCACGGCTTCAAGGAGCTTCCGATCTTCCAGTAGGTCGCCGGACTACTGCGACAGGGCGCCGAAAGCGCCGACGACGACGGCGAAGCCGAGGCGCGGGCGACGGGCTGACTCATGTTCAGGCCCAGCGAGCAGGAACTCACGTGGCAGATCTCGGTGCCGCACGTCGTGTGCCGGTCGGGGTTCACGCTGACGCACGCGTCCTACCTCACCTCCAATCCGTCGCAGGGCCAAGCGCCGCGAAAGGGCGTCACCATCGACTGCGAGAGGGGCGAGGACGCTGGCCGCACGGGCGTGTCGGACGAGCAGTGGTGGCTGCGCCTCTACGTCGTGCTCTCCAGCGCCACGCGCGTACGGAGGCCAACCTCGCGCGAGTTTCTGGAGCGCCAGCCCCTGGCGGCCTTGCGGAAGGCGCTCAAGAAGGCCAATGAGAAAGCGCGGCCAATGAGAAAACGCAAACTCCAGGGGTGAGACGGGGCAGCTCGCAGCACGGCCAGGCTTCGCGCTGTCCCCCGCTAGGGCGCGGCCGCGCCTGCCTCGGGGCCTGCGTGGCGATCCCAACGGCCCGGCCCGCGGGGTTTTCCCGACGGCCTGCCCGCGCGCCCCAGCGGCCCGCGGGGTTGCCCCACAGGCGTGGCCCGAAACGTTGCCCCAAAGGCTTCGTGATCCAGCCTTCGGCGAACGCGCGCGCGCTGGCCGAGTCGGCGACGGCGCCGAGGAAAATCGATTTGCTTGCCCCGACCAGGGGAAGGGGAGGTGCACATGGAGAAGGAGGAGGAGGAGGATGGGGGAAAGGGCAGGGGGAAAGCGATGATGAGGAGGCGGTGGAGAGGGAGGGGGAGTAGGGGAGAAATAGACGAAGGAGGAAGAGAGGGCACAGCAAAAGGGCGAGCGGAGGGAGCCCGCCAGGGCGGGGAGCGGCCGTCATTGTATGGCCAGCCGCTGGGGGCCAAAACCGACCCCAGGTGCGCGACACGTGGGCGAGGTGCGCCACGCGTGCCAATGGCGCCACGCGTGCCAAGCGCCCCTGGGGCCCGAGCGTGCCAGGCGCGCATGGTGCGCCAGATGCGCCACGTGTTCTGAGGGCGCCAGGTGTGCCGCATATTCCAGATACGCCAGGTGCGCCACGTTCGGGGCACGTGCACAGTGTGCCAGGTGCGCCTGCGCACGTGACAGCACACATCGGGAAACGCGTCGGCCCCCGCCGTCCGTGTCGAAAACCAATGCCCATATTTGTGTCTGGTGGGCCTGCGCACAGCAGGCCGCGCGACACCACCCCCGCCGTCCGTGTCAAAAACAATGTGACAGCGATCGCGGGATAGCGCACAATTGAGAATTCACTGCGAGGTGCATGTTGTGCTGTTTTGCGTCAGGAAGGTAACCCTGCGCACAACAGGGAATATGCTGACACTCCCGCCGTTTTTTTTTATCCAAGAACTATACACAGTGTTCGCGGGCCTCGCGAACATGATTCGAGATGTTGCACCAACGTGTAATTTGTTTCGTTTTGACAGGGATGGCGGGGGCGGGGGTGTATCGGGTTGGCCGCGCATGCCCCAAATGTGGAGGCACAGTTTGGCTCGCACTGTTTCTGGAAAGGGGTGGTGAAGGGCGGGCCGCAAGGAATCGGCATGGTTCCGGGTTGGCCGCCAGCCGGGTGGGGGAAGGGGTTTATATTATTAAAGAGCATTGGTGAACACACCCTCTACATAACAAGCCGTTCAGCTCATCCCCACCCGCCTCCCAAAACATCAGTGTAGAACCCGAGCCTGAGCATGTTCAGCGGTCATATTTGGATGGCCAGCTCCTGGGGGCCAAAGCCGACCCCAGGTGCGCGACGCTTGGGCGGGGTGCGCCACGCGTGCCAAGGGCGCAACGCGCGCCAGGCACCCCTGGGGCCCGAGCGTGCCAGGCGCGCATGGTGCGCGAGGTGCGCCATGTGCTCCGCGTGCGTCATGTGTGCCGCATACTCCAGCCACGCCAGGTGCGCCACGTTCGGTGCACGTGCACAGTGTGTCAGGTGCGCCTGCGCACGTGACAGCACAAATTGGGAAACATGGCGGCCCCTACCATGACTGTCGAAAACCCATTCCCATCATTGTGTCTGGTGGGGCTGCGCACAGCAGGTCATACGCCACCACTTGACAGTGATCGCGGGGCAACCGCGCATGATTCAGATGTAGACGTGAAGTGCATGTTGGTTTGTTCTTTGTTAGGGGCGGCATTGCGCGCAGCATGCAATGTGCTGACACCCCCACTGCCCCTACCAAACACATACAAATTGTTTGCGGACCTCACGAACATAACATGACTCCAGAATGTACCCCAACGTGTCTTGTGTATTGATTTTCAGATGGATGGTGGGGGGCCGCATCGGGTTGGCCGCGCATGCTCCAAATGTGGAGGCAAAGTGTGTTTGGTATTGTTTTTGACAGGGATGGTGAGGGGGTGGCCCTTATTGTTCCTGGTTGGCCGCCGGTCGCCTGGGGGAGGGGGTGTATATTAATAGGGAGCACTGCTAAACACGTCCCCGAAGAGGAAGAAGGCGGGTGTACTGTTATTACTATTGTGTTTGCTACCGCTACTGTTACTGCTACTGCAACTATTACTACGATTACTACTACTACTACTACTACTACTACTACTACCACTACTACTACGACGACGACTACTACTACTACCACTACTACTACTACTACTACTACTACTACTACTACTACCACCACTACTACTACTACTACTACCACTATTACTACTACTACTACTACTACTACTACTCTACTACTACTACTACTACTACTACAACAACTACCACTACTACGACTACTACTACTACTACTACTAGTATTACTACTACTACGCAGTATTACTTCTACGTTGACTACTACCACTACTATCACTACTACTACGACGACTACTACTTCTACGATTACTATACGACTACTACTACTACACTACTACTACTACTACTACTACTACTACTACTACTACTACTACTACTACTACTACTACTACTACTACTACTAATACTACTACTACTACTACTACTACTACTACTACTACTACTACTACTACTACTACTACTACTACTACTACTACTACTACTACTACTACTACTACTACTACTACTACTACTACTACTACTACTACTACTACTACTACTACTACTACTACTACTTACACACTACTACTACTACTACGACTACTACTACTACTACTACTACTACTACTACTACTACTTATTACTACTACTACTGTTACCACTACCACTACTACTACTACTACTACTACTACTACTACTAGTATTACTACTACGACTACTACTACTACTACTACTACTGCTACTACTACTACTACTACGTACTACGTACTACATACTACGTGCTACGTACTACTACTACTTCTAATAAAACTAATAATATGCTGCTACTGCCTTCTACTTCTCTGTAATACTACTACCACTTTTTGTTCTACTCCTACTACTACTACTGCTACTACTACGGCTACTACTACGACTACTACCATTACCACTCTTACTACCACTACCACTACTACTACTACTACTACTACTACTACTACTACTACTACTACTACTACTACTACTACTACTACTAATACTACTATACTACTACTACTATCATTGTTATTTTTATTATTACGACTACTACTACTAGTACGACTACTACCACTACCTCTACTACTACTACGACCTACTGCTACTACTACTACTACTACTACTACTACTACTACTACTACTTTCATTATTACTGATACTAGTACTGTTACTCGTCGTTCTCGTCGTCAAGGCTTTTACCTGTGCGCTACTGCCAGTCTCATGCCCGCGCTCGCCACGTTGCCATTACCCGCCACGGCGGCCGCCCCCCCACCGTAACGGATGCTACGGTTGGGAAGCATCAAAAACGTTTTCTAAAAAGGCTTGCCGAGGACGAGGAGAGGGTTCGTCATTGCGGAACCAGGGCGTGTGCAGGCGTGAGCGTGCATGTGTGTGTGTGTGATTGTGCGCATGCGTGTGCGCGAGCAAGTCTCTCTTTCTCTCTCTTGTTGCCTTCTCCTTGGCTCCCTGTGGACCTCGGCAGTTCGAGAGTTCCGAGGTCTGGCTGGCAGTCGTTCAGTTACCAGTCTCGTGTAGGCTCCGGGGACGAGACGGCATGTTTTTTATCAGCAATTTCGAGACTGGCGGTTGCTGATAAAAAAAGGTATTGCCGTTGCTCCCCGCCCCCGTGTTGCCGTTCTCGTCCGTTCCTCGCTCTGCACTCCCCCTCTCTATCGCTGCACTCGCTGGTATTGCTGCCTCTGCTTCCCTCCCCCTGCCGCTCCCCGCACGCTCTTCCCGCCAGCCTCCCTCGTCGCCCCCTCCATCGTTGGGTCTCGTCGGCTCTACCGTCCCACCCCCCATCATCTCCGCGTTTCGCTGCCGCTGCTGCGAGTTCTTCCCGGGACGACGCGCGGCCGGTGTGGTGGCGACGCAAGGGGTAGCACGTACACGCCGGTCATTGAAAGTAGGTAATTTGGGATACCCAGATCCCAATCTACCTCAAGCGCCTCCCTACTTCAAGAATCGACATGCGTTTGCCGTGTTCTGTTATTCTGTGGGAGGACCTGGACCCAATCTACTGTATCCGCCTTCCTACTTCATGTTTCTACCTACTTCTTCCGACCGACGTGCATGGTAGCACGAGCAAAAACACACGCAAGCGCGTGTACAAGCACGCGCTCTTCTGCGTGTGCGGCTTGCCTGCCCGCGAGCACGTGCGTGCTCATGTGCGTGCGTATAGCAAGCAGTACGGTGAGGAATCGGGATGCGTTTCCAGGCGCGGTTCCGTTGATTGAGTGCGGCGCGTAGCACAACACGGTAACACCAAATGGATCGTCACACAACCAAACATGTCTCGCATCGCGTCCCAGAGTTGTGGCTTCTTCAGTAAATGATTCACATATGGTGGTACGAGCATTCATTGAGACGGTGCTGTGAACAGCCCAGCGCAGTGGGGGGGTCCAGCATCTCTCCAATCCCCGCCTCCTCTGGACTCGTCAATCTTTCGAATCCGAGTTTGTTTTACCTGCCCTGGCTTGCTAGCAGGAACTGGGCTTCACAAGTGATGGCGACGTAGACCCGACTCAACAGAAGGTGTCGATGATGAGCGGCGGCCTTATCTGGTACAAGTCGTCTGGCCGATTCGGCTTACTAGGGGAAAGGGACACGGGAGAGGTTGGAAGCATAATGAAAAAGGTGAGGAGAGGGAGGAGGAGGAGGAGGAGGAGGAGGAGGAAGACGGAGGGGAAGGAATATGGGAAAACGATGGAGGACGGGTGCTTAAGGCACGGGGAGTGGGAAGAGAACGGAGGGAAGGCAAGGTGAGTATTCAACCAGCTTGATCCTTTAGAATAAGACTCAACACGTTCAGATCACAGTGGTTTTGCATATACGTCCAGCTTCTCACTCGACCGTATCAACAGAGCTCGATCGAGAGAAGATCTATCTAACATCAGTGTCCTCATTGGTCTTGCCGATCGAGTCGGCCACCAGAGCTGCGCTCTACGTGGTCGGCTAGTGCTGGTACCAATGTGTGTCCAATGGCCGTCTGATTGAATATGCGATCGTGATCACGATTGAAGTTGTCCGGTCGATTGCTATGAGGTAGTTTGTCACTCTGCGAACCCCTATTGCCCCACATGCCTGCCTCTCCTTGCAAAGCCTGCCGCGGGACCGTCGCAGTCGCGCCAGCAGGAGGGGGGTCTCGGTCCAGCCCTGTCTTGGAAGCTTGCTTGGGGCCTTCTTGGGCGAGGCGCTCGGTCAGCCTGCACCATCTGCACTGCCCGCGCCACCTCCCCCGCTCTTCGACGGTGGGCTCGTCGGCCCCGGCTGGACGCTGGCCAGCCGCGACGCGCGGCTTCCGAGCGCCGCGCTCACCGTAGGGGAACGAAGAATGGCACAAACATAAAAACTCGGAGGTCCGCGCAGATTTCTCGGATCCGCGCTGGACCCCCCTGGCGGCGCCTCTGGCGCCGCCCCTGGCGTGCTTCGCGCGCCAGGGAGGGGGGTCCAGCGCCGATCCGAGAAATCCGCGCTGACCTCCGAGTTGTTTGATTATGTCATTCTTCCCTCCCCTACAGAGGGACCCAGAGCACGCCCACGCAACGCAGCGCCTGCGGCATCGATCTGGCTCGCTCGGCCACCACTGCTGCCGGCCGCCCCAGCGTTGCGACGTTCTCTTTGTGCTGGCGAGACACTGCCAGGGTGGGCTGCTCGCGGCCACCCTGGCCGTGTGCCAGGGACTGCCCCTCTCTGCGACGCACCCGAGTGGCGCTGACCCTGGGCATGCCGCCGGGGCTCCTCAAAACTTCTCTCGGCATGCTGGAGCGGTTCGTCCTGCCTTGGGCGCTCGGCGGGTTGGACTTCTCGTCCAGCGTTCCCATTGCGACGGCGACCAGGGCGAGTCCAAAGGAGGGCGAAGTGGTCTCGCTGTGGTCTCGACCAGCCTGTTGGCGGGGGACGTCAGGTGAGCACCCCACGGATCCTGGCAGGGCCGATCCTTGGCCTGTTGGCCTGGCCAGCGAGGCGCAGGCCTAAGTCTGGCATGTCCTTCGACAGGGGGGAATATTCAAAAATAGACAGGAAATAGTCTGGGGATCGATTTGTTTGTTCCCCAATCAGAGCTTGCCTCTGTAGGGGTCCTAGCGGATATAAAGCTGAGGTGAGGTGAGCGGCCGATTTCGGTGGCCAGGGCCGGGTGCCCGGGTGCCCGGGGGTTCCCGGGGGTGCCCGGGTGCCCAGGTGTGTGGCCGATTTCGGTGGCCGGGGCCGGGTGCCCGGGGGTGCCCGGGGGTGCCCGGGTGCCCAGGGGTGCCCGGGTGCCCGGGGTGCCCAGAAGTGCCCGGGGGTGCTTAGCCCAGTAGCCCTTATCCCTATAGCCCAATAGCCCAATCGCCATATATCCCTATAGCACTATAACCCTATAGCCCTATAGCCGTACCTATACGACCACCCTTCGGGTGATAAGGAGGTTCGGGGGGGGAACCAACGTCTCACTCGATCGGTCTCACTATCGATCTCAGTATCGATCTCACTATCGGTCTCGCTCGATCGATCTCACTCGATCGATCTCACAATCGATCTCACTCGATCTATCTCATTCGATCGATCTCACAATTGATCTCACAATCGATCTCACAATCGATCACACAATCGATCTCACATTCGGTCTCAATATCGATCTCACTATCGATATCACAATCGCTCTCACACAATCAACGTCATCATCATCATCATCATCATCATCATCATCATCATCAACATCAACATCAACATCAACATCATCACCAACATCGTCATCATCATGAGGGCACCGTCATCATCATCATAAACATCATCACCAACGTCAGCATCATCATCGGGACAACATCATCATCATCATCATCATCACCATCACCATCTCATCATCAACATCATCATCGGGACACAGTCATCGTCATCATCAGCAGCATCATCATGATCATCAGCATAATCGGGACACCATCATGTTCACCATCGTTCTCATCATCAACATTCTCATCAACATCGTCATCATCCTCGGGACAGCATCATCATGATCATCGCATCATCATCGACATCATCATTATCAACACCATCATCATCATCATCATCATCATCATCATCATCATCATCATTGGGGCACCATCATCATCATGAGCAGCATCATCATCAACATCGTCATTATCATTATCATCAACATCATCATCAACATCATCATCAACATCGTCAACATCATCATCGGGACACCATCAGCATCACCATCATCATCATCACCATCATCATCAGCATCAGCATCATCATCGGGACACCATAATCATCAACACCATCATCATCAACATCATTATCGCCACACACCATTTCCATCAACATCATCATCACCAAAATCATCCGAATCATCATCTTAATCATCATCACCATCATCATCGGGACACCATCATCGTCATCATCATTAACATAATCATCATGAACATCCTCATCCTCATCATCGGGACACTATCATCATCATCGACACCATCATCAACATCATTATCATCTTCATCGGGATACCATCATCATCATCTCATCATCATCATCACGACCACCATCATCATCATCATCATCATCATCATCATCATCATCATCATCATCATCACCCTCGCGGGACACAGGCGGGACACCGCGGGACACCGCGGGACACCGGGGGACACCGTGGGACACCGCGGGACTCCGGCGGGACACCGCTGGGCCCCGCGCCCCGGATGAGAAACATTTGGTCCGGCCGCGCCTCGGCCACAGGAGGACACCGCGGGACACCGGCGGGACACCGCGGGGCCCCGCGCCCCGGAAGAGAAACATTTGGTCCGGCCGCGCCTCAGCCACAGGAGACTTTTTCTCGCCCGCCCACGCAGCTTCGCCTCGCACGCACGGCACGCACGAACACGAAACCGAAACCGATTTCCCAGTGGGGGGCTCGCCGTTCCACTTCGATCTCACCCACTCACCTGCGATAGCCCTATAGCCCTATAGCCCAATAGCCCAATAGCCCAATAGCCCCATAGCCCTATAGCCCTATAGCCCTATAGCCCTATAGCCCTATGGTCCTAAAGCCCTACAGCCGTATATAGCCCGATAGCCCGACAGCCCGAATAGCCGTATAGCCCTATAGCCCTATAGCCCCATAGCCCCATAGCCCCATAGCCCTAAAGGCTTCTAGCCTTATATCCCTATGGCCACATCGCCCTATAGCCCCATAGCCCTAAAGCCCTAAAGCCCCATAGCCCCCCCCAAATTCTGATTGGGTTTTTCTCTAGTAGAATTTGACTATTTTCTGGGGGGGGGGCGTGGATTAGCGGTGGGAGCCGCTTCCGTGGGAAATCACGGATTTCCGCCGCCGAGGGAGGCGGCACCGGCCGCATTTCGGGGAGGGCACCTCCCCCGATCGATGGATTTGGCGACCGCGCGCCAAATCCATGGATCGCTAATCCATATTTGCGCGCCCCCGATTCTCTTACTATTATTTTATGTTTCTTCCAACATCCGCCTGTAGGAGGACATGCCCGACCTAAGCGTGGACCCCAGCCTGGGGCCCAGGATGGGCCCAGCCAAGTGGATACTGTGGTCAGTTGACGTCCCCCGACTGTTGCAGCCCATCCTCGACCTCGTGGCGGGCGCGACCCGCGACGCTGTCGGCACGGTCCCCGGGTCGCCGCCGCCTCGTCTTTGGTTCTGTGTCGTGGCTCTTGCGGCGACGCGGCGCACCGTACATGGCCACGTCCTGTCCCTCGCCACAGTGGTGCTGGCGCCTCCGTCCTCAGAGGAGGAAAAGGTACCAATACCGCTACCCTCCGCCCGTTTTCCTGTTTTTGGGCCTCCTGGGCGGCCTTCGTCGCCACCACTGGATTCCCCTCGAAATACTTGTCAGAACGCACCCCAGGAGAGGTCCAGGGAGTAGCGGTATCGGTACGTTTTGGTTTCGCCATGTCCTCCATACAAGTGTTGCCGCCAGTCGAGTCGTGCCTCTTGACCTGTTACGTGGCGGAGGAGCTCCGTGCTGATTCCGCAAGTCGTTGTCGGGACGTTTGTGCCACTTGCCCTCTTGGCCAGTTGCTCTTTGCGGACGTCCTGGGAGGGGCGCACTGCGGCCCCTCATTGCAGTGGTCCTGACTGCTGTACACGGCGTGCGCTGGCAGATGAGGCTTCCCGACGGGATCTCTGCGAGCACCTGGCGGTCCAGTGTGTCTCTCTCTCTCTCTCTGCCGCTGGTGTGCTCGCGGCCTCCTCATCCTCGTCCTTCCCATCCTCCAGCCCCTCGCCTTCCGACGACGAGAGAGGGGGGGAGAGAGAGAGAGAGAGGGATAGAGAGAGGGGGGAGAGAGAAAGAGAGAGAGAGAGATAGAGGGACATAGTGAGTGAGGGAGGGAGGGGGGAGAGAGAGAGGCAGAGAAAGAGAGAGGGAACGCCTCCGTCTTTCAAGCCTTGCATGTGCTTTCTTCCCCAGACGCAACCGTGAGCCTCGTCAGTGATTGCAGTCAGTCCAGTCAGGGACTCGCTGAGGTGAAGAGCACTGCCTCGACCTCGGAGCCAAAGGCTTTCCGCTGCCGGTGTTCAAGATGTTGCAGGTCTAGCTGTCGCCTGGTACGATCGAAATGGGGACGGAAATATATGGGAACGAATGCCAACAGCAGTCCCTGCCTATTTTGACTTGGACTCGCTCTTGGTGTCGCCGCGGACGTGCATGTGCGAGGGAGAGAGGGAGTGGCATGCCCAACACCGGCCGGTGTCGGTGTTGGACAGCATTTGCTCTTGGGCACCGTTCCTGTTCTTTCCATACTCTTTTCGTGCGTGCCAAGTCATATCATTTTGATTGTTTCGTTCCCTGTAGTTCGCAAGCAATTCGTGAAAGTAGGCTGCTGGTAAAATGTATTAGGTTCGGTCTGTTGTGAGAATGAGAGTGCGTGGCTGAAGGTTCGCCAGAAAAGGGGTCTTATAATGGGCTGTTCAAGTGTCTCCTCGGCCATACGAAGGGCGAGTACACCGCGACCCCAATCAGGGATGATACTTCAACGAAGAGGCAAGTGCAACGCGAGGCTAGCAACCAAGCAACGCAACGGAGAGCAATGCAACAACGACGCAACGGAAAGCAATGCAGTGCAGCGCGATGCGATGAGAAGAACTGCATCCGTAGCCGCGTTATCCACGGAGAGTGGGTTTGGAGGCCCCCAGGGCTCCAGAGGTGCGTCGACGAGCTCGTACGACTGCCCCCCCCCCCCTGGGCCCTCTCCTCCTCTGGCGGGATTTTGGACCCCAGGGTAGGGGGAAAGGGGGAGAAAGGACAGCCAATCATCTCACACGCCTTTTCACCCCCAGCAAGCGGAGGCTGGCGGATCTGCAAAGTTCTGTTATATGTTGCGCTACGCAGTGTGCTCTCGCTCATAAAACAGCAGGTGCGAGTTGTGATGCCAACGCAAGGCTTTGCATTTGAGCTGGCCGCGAAGATGAGGTAATGTCGACTACACGTAAGAGTGACCCTTTGGCAGAGTGCCTTTTGGTGTTGACCTCAAACTGGAGACATGACTCCAGACCCAGAAACGTATAGGCGAATTCTTAATGGTACTGGTGTCTACCTTCCCGGTCTGTTTGCAATTCTTGTGTTTTGGCCGATGGGTTGCATCGGCAGTTTGTGAATTCTTGACCGCATCGTAACACGTTGTGTATGGTCGCATTAACTTCATGTACGTATGCATGTGCGTATGCATGTACGTATGTATGTTCGTATGTACGTATGTATAGGTGTATCTGTGTATGCATGTATGTATGTATGAAAGAGCGTGTTCTACCGCTGCTGGCGAAAAACCGGGGGGGTCACTACCGGTTCGAACCCCTCCCCCCCCCCCTCCGGAAAACCGGGGGGGGGGGTCACTACCGGTTCGAACCCCTCCCCCCCCCCAGTTCATCATGAAAAGGGGGGGGTCACTACCGGTTCGACACCCCCCTCCCTTCCCCCTCGAAAACCGGGGGGGGTCACTACCGGTTCGAACCCCCCCCCCCTCTCCCCCCCCCTCGAAAACCGAGGGGGGGGTGCGGACAGTGGTGGCGACGGTGGTGATGGGGACAGTGGTGAGGGGACAGCGGGACAGTGGTGGGGACAGTGGGACAGTGGTAGGGACGGTAGTGGTGGGGACAGTGGTGAGGACAATGGTGGGAATTGTGGGGACAGTGGACAGTGGTGGGGACGGTGGTGGTAGGGACAGTGGTGTGGGGACAGTGGGAATGAGGTGGAAACAGTGGGAACGTGGTGGGGACAGTAGTGAAGGCGGTGGCGAGGACGGCGGTGGGACAATGGGACAGAGGTACAGTGGGGACAGTGGTGCGGACAGTGGGGACAGTGGTGGGAACAGTGGGACAGCTCAGTGGGACAGCGGAGGAGTCAGTGGGATAGTGGGGACAGTGGGGATAGTCGGGCAGTGGTTGGGGCCGTGGAGAAAGTGGGGAGAGTGGAACCATGGTGGGAACAGTAGTGGGGACAGTGGGGACTGTGCGACTTGGTGGGGGGCACTGGTGGGGACAGTAGGGACGGTGGTGGAGCCAGAGGGGACAGTGGTGGTGAGGACAGTGGTTGGGAACAACAGTGGGGGATGTGGTGCAAACGGTGGTAGGGACCGGGAGTCGTTTGCTGGCGGTGAGTGGGGGGGGCGGGGAGGGTTCGAACCGGTAGTGACCCCCCTCCGGTTTTCGAGGGGGGGGGGGGTCGAACCGGTAGTGACCCCCCCGGTTTTCGAGGAGGAGGGGGGGGGGGGGGGTAGGGGAGGGGGGGGGGGTTTGCCGGGAGACGGGGGGGGGGGGAGGGGTTCCAGCAGGGGGGGGGATTTTCGGAGGGGGGGGGGACCCCCGGGTTTCGGAGGAAGAGGGCGGCAATTTTCCACAGTACAGCGGCGGTGGATCACGCTCTCTCGTATGTATGTCTGTCTGTCTGTCTGTCTGTCTGTCTGTCTGTCTGTCTGTCTGTCTGTCTGTCTGTCTGTCTGTCTGTCTGTCTGTCTGTCTGTCTGTATCTCTGTGTGTATGTATGTATGTATGTATGTATGTATGTATGTATGTATGTATGTATACAATCTAGCAATATATGCTCTGGCGGCCAGGTCTCCGAGCCCTGGGGCGGCCCACTTTTCCAACATCTCCCACCATTGGTGCCCACTTTGTCCTGGGGGTCCACTGGTGCCGCCGTTTCGGCTTCAAGAGACTTCCAACATGGTTCAGGGGGTGGCCCACTTCCCCCACGAGGCCTTCCCCGCCTTCTCGCTTCCGATTGGATTTTGAAGTCCCAAGATGGCTGCAAGATCGTCCAAGAGAGCTCCAAGAAAGTCCCGACGCGGGCCCAAGATGGCCTAAGATGCCCCCGAGACGGCCGTAGGACGGCCCAGGATGCCCCCTAGAGGTCCAAAAGGCTGTGTTAGCACCCTCGCTCCTTCGGGACGTCTCCATGACAGTAGATCGAGCACTGCCTGGAGTTGCCGACCAGCGAAAGCAATCCGGTTATACACCCGCTGCCCTCCAATCCATTTCACAGCGTTTTGGTTAGGTCGGGCATGTCCCTCTACAGGAGGAAAATTCAAAAATAGTCAAACAAATAGTAGGGGAATTATTTTTCTAATTGTTGTTGACCCTTTTTGGATATGATTGTCAATCGTTATTGTTCGTCCAAAATCCACCTGTAGAGGGACATGCCCGACCTAACGTTCATGTTCAGCATCTTTCGAGAAGCTTCCTCGCAGCTTCCAGCTCATGCCGCAATGTGGTTGCCCCTCTTCTCGAGCGCGCAGCGCAGTTGCCGCCGGATGGCCGTCGTCGGCGCCCGTCTGGCGGCAGGAAAACACATACGGCCACCATGTCTTAATAACATTTATGTTCGATTGTGGCAGGCTGGCACTTACAGTTGGGGCGCATGCCAAGAAACTTGGCTTTTTTTCCACAGGACGAAGAATCCTGCAGGCAGGCAGATCCTCATTTGGTAGTTCGCACAAACACATGGTGCATCAAACAGCAAGCCTTCGTAATGAAATTGATCCGAGGAGGCTCGAGACAATCATGGTCCATACGACTCCAGCTCGTTGCCCTCCCGCTGCTTGGCTTGACGCGGGATGTAGCACGCTCCTATATTGGGTTGCCTCGCATTCGTATCATATCTGCGATCTGATATGTTGCATTGTCGGACAAACTGCTCCACGCTTCGGGGCAAAACGCCGTACGCATTCCAATATCAGTTCGTTGTTTTTGAGGGTCGTTTAGGTTCAAGGTTCTCGAACGATTCCACAGGACGCGCTTCAGAGGTCAGCACAACACGACCCATACTTGGTTACCCCATCCCCGCGTCACGCTTGGCCAGAGAGAGAGAGAGAGAAACACATACATACTTGTCTATGGTTTATATATGTGAGAGGGAGAGAGAGAGAGAGAGAGAGAGAGAGAGAGAGAGAGAGAGAACAAAAAAACAAAAACAAAACAAAACAAAATATGATGAGGGGAGGTGAAGGAGGAGGAGGAGGGGCGGAAGGCGGAAGAGGAGGAGCTGGTGCAGGCAGTCGATTGGGATGCCCAGAAGTACCTCGAGCAGATCCAGTCCAGGGGGTACGTCGAGGACGCCCTGCAGATGACGGCCCCAGAGGACGCCATCCTGAAGTCCGATTGCATGAAGGACCCTCGCAGCGCGCTCGTGGCTCGTGGCGGGGCTTCTATAATGAACACGTTTCATGTGATAATGGGCTTGTTTTCCACCGCCACAATAAGTTGGAGGGGGGAAGGAGGTGGAGGATGAGGAGGAGGACGAATAGGAGGAGGAGGAGGAGGAGGAGGAGGAGGAGGAGGAGGAAGAGGAGGAGGAGGAGGAGGAGGAGGAGCACCCCCTCCCCCTCCCCCTCCTAATTCTGGTGGTGGTGGTGGAAAACCAGCCCACCATTATGAGGATCCCTGCGCCGATGGTTCTGGCGTTTCGGGCGCGAGTCGCTCTGCTCCCGAAGCGGCTGCCGTGCGACCTGGAGCGATGCCGCGATGAGCATGCAGCAGCGAGGAGGGCGGAGACACGGCGGGGCAGGAGGCGGCGTGCTGGGACGGCACGCTGTCCGAGAGGGTGGGACCAGGTGCCCTGCTCCCCCGGTGCTCGTCAGGAGGAGGGGGTGAGGGAGGGGGGGGGAGGGGAGGGGAGGGAGGGGAGGGAGGGAAGGGGAGGGGGGAGGGAGGGAGGGAGGGGAGGGGAGGGAGGGAGGGGAGGAAGGGGGGGCCTCGGAGACGCCCTCGAAGCCGAGGGAGCCTCTCCAGGGCGCCCCGCCTCTGCGGGTCGGGGGCAGGAGGGGGGGAGGGGAGGGGGGAAGTCGGGCACGTCCCTCTACAGGACAAAGACTCAGAGGCATGTTTGGATTATGTGTGCAAGTGGTCGTCCAAAATCCGCCTGTAGGGGGACATGCCCGACCTGAGAGGAGGGCAGGCTTGAGGGGGGCCCGCCCTTTGGAGCGTCCACGCTCTCAGAGCGTTCCGGGACGCTCTGAGAAGGCCGCGGCGCCCTGGGGCATTCTCCAGAGCCGCGGGATCTCAGGAATTCTCGATTGACGTTAGTCCGAATGTGTCCTCGTTC